TTAAGGTCACACAATAAGTCAATATATTGGATTTATCTCTATGAGACTTATCTAGATTTTGATATTGGATATTAAAACATATTTCATTTCGTCCTAAAGCCCAAAAACAATTTATTTTAATCAAAAAAATTTTGATTAATTGAATATTTATTCGTTAATAATTCTAGGGTATATTTTGGGGCGTTACATTTCTCCCCCCTAAAAGGAATTTTGTCCTCGAAATTCTTCTAAGGTTCCACAATCGATATCTTGTTGTATTTACAACAATCATGACCGTGTTATGTTCATTCGGTTAAACCATAATTACGTTATTATCCACATGGATACGTAATCTCAAACTGTCGATGTTATCAAACTTGTTCTTTCTTCAAGAGGTTAACAATCTTAGATTAAGCAAAGTTTCCAATGATCCTTTCTGTAAGTCCCCGTTCAGATTAAACATCCATAATCAAGATTCTTTTGCAGGGTATAACATTATATTTTGAGGCATATTTGACATACTTGCACATCACTTTGTTTATTCAGAATTCTCAATTGTACAACGTTGATTAACGATATTTTTCCTTTGTTTGAAAGTCCTTCAATAGCATTTGCGGTTTCAAGTTCGCGATAGATGTAGTGGAAGATTTTGAGGTTGTTTAATTCATACGTCATTGCGTAACTTTCTCAAGTTATTTGAGTTATCTTCATATCGTTCATATAATTCAACAATGATTCGTAAGTACATCAATGGCTTTTAGTGGTCCAAGATTTTCAAGATATGGGATTTGTCATCATTTACGAGGAAGTACTGTCGATTGGTTGTACAGTAGCTTGTCATCATCGATCTTACATCGAAACATTTATTCGTTCACTTCATGGTCGTTCTCATTATCATTAATGAGTCTTTGTATTAATTTGTATTCATAGGTGATGACGTTCGAGTGGCATCTCATATACATCTTGTCGTTTTTCACTTTCTTTCATTGACTTGAAAGTATACCAAAATATGATAGTGACAGTTTTGTTTATAACACTATGGTTGGTCTCATTTTGAGAGAAGAAGAGAATATCTTTAGTATCGTGATTCAATTCACGGATTCATAGAGTAAGGAATCTTAAGAGTTCTTATACCAACATCGTATATAGGTTTAGGATTTTCGTTTGACTGATTCAGTTTAATCCTTGTGACGTCATTGCTTCTTTGGTTGTTGCACCTACCTTTCCTTGCTAGGGTCAAAACAGAGTTCTTGATCATCATTGATAATAATCTTCATAGATAACGCAATCGCATAAACCGTTTTGTACTTCACAAGGAGAGGTTTAAGATAATGTTCAAGTCAGAGTAGTTTTACTTTTCGAAGGTTGGTATCATAATAGATCTTTGTGGTTCAATGGAGAATCATGAGTCAAGACAAGTTTTCCATAGTTTAATATCTTGATACACGTAATGGAATTCGGTGTTTTCAAGATTGATCAACGAGATATTTGAAGTGTGTAATCAACATAGCAAGTTTGGGTATTTCAAGGATATGAGTCACAAGATACGAATGTAGTATTTGCCAATTATCATCCCTAATCGTAGGTTTTCATACTCTTTGGAAGTTATTCAAGGGATCGTTATTTTAGGGCATTAGCCACTTTTGACATTTTGTCTCAGATTTGAACGTGTTTCAGGATAGCGAATCTAACTATTCATGAGTCTCAATACGTCACATCGTCAGCAGACTGTAGTATTGGCGAGTACGTTTTAGTCTGTAGGTAAATCGAAGCGAGTCCACTTTTCTGTACATATTTTGGCTGGTGATAATTACCTTTGTGTCAATAGTCAGGTTTCAGAGACTATATGTATCACGATTATGGAAAGAGTATTTCACATTCTCACATTATGGAAGAAACTTCTCAAATAATTTCTTACATCATAAGATTCATTGGTCTACTTGGCAGTCATTCTCTTGGTAGAAATCCAAAGTTTATGGCTACTACGGTAGATTTAGGAAGGGAATTTATAAGGGGAAAGATTAAACTTGCCTATGGAGGAGGTAGTGTTGGCCTTCAAGGAGCTGTTGCCTCAACAGTCTTTACCAATGGTGGTCTCGTTAGAGGTTTCATTCATGGGTACATAGCAACACGACGAGTCTATAGACCTATGTACGGTGTAGAGCACACAGTTTCCAGTGATTACTACAAATATTTTGAGATGAATCATGTCGTGGAAGCTTTCATTGTTCTTCCCGGAGGAGTTGACACTATGGAAGGTTTGTTTACCTTGATCTCGTGGGCTTCTAAAGTGTTACACAATAGACCCATTGGTCTTTTAAACATTGACGGATATTTCAATAACCTTCTCAAATTCTTAGACGATGCGGTGAGGCAAAACTTCATGGCTTCCAGTGAGAGGAAACGTTTTATTTCTTCTTTCTTTGTTGACGAGGTTTTAGACAAACTAGAGTTTGCTAAAGTTTTCCCGGATCCTGGGGCTAGTTATGACAACTTTGGAAATCTTGGAAGATTAGACATAGAATTGCATCTTTAACATTTCCTTTGTAATCCAAGTTGCATTCATGTTGAAATCATATCGTCCATGAACATTACGAGTTAGCCATAACTATCGATCTAAGTTGCATGGTCAGTGCAGCTACATTTTCTTCATTCTTCAGTCTTTCACTGTTGGTGTTACTGTTTTACGTCTTGTCTTCTATTATCGCCACGTCGCGATCTTTCACGTCAAACGACTCAATCGATTTGTCTTATCAGCATCACTATATTTCATTTAGTCAATTCAAACTACATCGACGTTTTTGACGATAAACAATTAAGTCATTAGTCGCTTCATAACAAGACATCAGTTCATTCAACAAGGTCGAGATATCTATAGCTTCTAACAAACAGGTTCTTCGAACAAATCGTCTATACATAGTGAAGGGTAGCGATTCTTGATCGTCAGTTTGTCCATCATTCTTCACAGGGATGTGATAGTATCTTGACTGTAAGTCAATCTTAGAGAACACAATGGATCCTCTAAGCTGATCAAATAAGTCGTCGATACGAGTTAAAGGATAACGAATCGTTCATTGACAGTAGTTGATACAGAGTCTCATCGATTCTTCTTTATTCGTGTATGGACAAAACAAGTATTTTCCCAAGGAGGAAACACTTGGTCAGATGATTTTTTGTGAAACAATCTTTATAGTTGAGTTTTCAGTTTTGATGAAAACACATTCAATACGGGGTTACGAATATTGGTCCTTTCTAGGATCAAGATTGACAGAATTTAATTTCTCGGAACAGTGAAATATTAGACATTTCATATCAGAGAGGTGACATACTTTCGGTATGTTCCTTCAGTTCAGATGTTTCTTTTCGCATATTGCACGAATAGACTTCCCACTTGAGATGTTTTCGCATATATATTCGAGATGAACTCAGTCGATTTAGAAATCAGCTTTGCTTTCACCTCTATAAGGTTTCCATCATCGATCTTTTGTTGAAGAACTCTTCATCAAGAGTTGTCAATGCCAATGTCGTTCGATCAGCCAATGTATACTAAGGATAATTATCAATTTCCTTGTATCGTATTTCAATGAGGTTTTGCAAGGAATTGTCGCTTAACGAACAATTTCAATTCACATGATATAATCACATATTGTGCCGTAATGAGTTAGACAACAGAACGGGATACTTTAGATAACAGAGTTCATTAATTCTAACGTTCGTGTTCAAATCGGCGATTAGATCGTCTTGAGTCCACATAGGATCTTTGACATCGGCTTCACAGATGTTTCTCAACATTTATCGTTTCCTCATAGTCGTCTCACTTTCGTACAATTTTGCGATGCAAATCAGTTTCGTCATTCGCGATACGATGCGTACGTTGATAACGTATCAAGAGGTTTATACACATTTCGTTTATTCTTTCGTCTCTTCACTGAGTACGAAAGTTCAAATAGAGTCTACACTTGATACGATTTCAGTACTAATCAAATGTTATCTAATGAGAATTCTAACAGAGTCATTATTTACCAAGTAAATTCTCATACCTTTTCCTGGAGCAGAGGGATGTGAGAGTTGTGGATGTGATTGACAATTTTTTTAAAATAAATATCAAATTTCGATCCGAAGATCGGGTTTAAAACCATTTGCTCCGATACCAAAATGTAACACCCTAATTCATCCAGGTCTGCAGCCCCTTTCGGACTAACATATTAACTTGATAATTGTAAAATTTAAAACATTTTAAACACTTTAATTTATTATAATAATTATTTTTATAACAGAAACAGTACGGAGTTTTCAATATTGCGGAAGCTTAACAAATCATAATCACAAACATAATTTATTTATATTCTTCAATTCAAAATCATCACATCCAGTCTGTCTATCTCGCCTCCGTCTGCCTCCAGGATCACGTCATATTATTCTTTCTATTAACCTGCGTGTAGCAAATAAAGCATACTACACGCTCAGCGGTAAAGCTGAGTAAGCATATCTAAAGCGTCGAACATCCACATAAATTGAATCTCAATTCATAACCAACCATTTGATACCATGCACATAATGTTCAGTTTGAATATTCATTTTTCAACAATCATTGTTCCATATTCAACATTCATTTTCATATTCAACATTCAACATTCAAATTCAATATTCAACATTCGTATTCAACAATATCCTTAAACTATTCTTAGTCTAAGGCCAATCTTTTTTCTGTAGCACCTCAGGCGCTACCAACTCTTCTAAAAGCAATTGGTGTTAGAAGAGGCGCATACCCTAGCCTTATAGTGCATTCACCACACAAGCGCCCACGACATTCGATTGTGACTTGGCACACATAGCCTTCGTCACGGGACAATTGATGCACACATGACCAACAATCTCCCCCTCAGCAATTGCTCCCGCTGGGAATCGAACTCGTGACCTTGGCTCTGATACCACTTGTAGTGTTAGCCTTGGTATGCTTAATCTCATGTTTTGATGTTAACAAATAATTTTATTGAGCTAACGTTTGTTCAATTGTGTAGGAACGGCAAAATCCACTAAAACACGTTGATTGCGTCAAAATGTTCGCTCACACAGGACTAGCATAGAATAGCTTAGAGTCATTTATTGTTAAAGATATTTGAATGATATATCTCTAAGCTCAAGCTAAACTTTGCACACACATAAAAAAGATTTTTACTTAGGTATTTATTTTTAAAATACATTTGGTAAATATTTTCGAAAACATATTTTTCAAAATATTTAACTAAAGTTATAGCTCTTCTCAATACGAGATCGCCGGTTCTTGAATTACTGAATTCCGATTAGAATTGAAAAAGTTATTAACATTTTACCAAATTTATTTCAAAATTGCGCACAAGGTTACGAACGGTCGATGTGGTGAACCGTTACTACTGAACGGTCGACCGTCCTACTGACCGTTGGAGGAATCTGAACGTTACCCCGAACAATCGACCGTTTTGCCTGAAACGGTTGATGTGATGGATCGTTCGGAGACCAGATTTCTTATTTCTTGTCTTTTTCATCCCCAACGGTTGGATTATTTTAATTATGGCATTAGGAGCTAATTATTCTTCTCTAACAACTATTTTTCAATTTCAAACAACTCCTAATTCATCTCTATAAATACCCAAACCATTTATATGTTTTAATTAAAATCTCTTAATTCTTTCTTCTTGTGTTCATAAAAATCTCTGATTTTTTTATTAGACTATTAAGAGCCATTTTTCAATATATCTTCTTGACCACACATTGAGCTTGATCCAAAGAGATATACACTCATATCATCTATAAGAGAGTTGTAATGCTAGAGTATATAGATATTATCACACCAACCCGACTTTGTAATTTATATTATTGAGGGGGTGTTGATTCATTCAAATTCTTATATCCTTGTAATCGGTCGAAGATATCTGTTGCAAAATCTTCATTGAACGGTTGGAGATAGCCGTGGTGAAATCTCCGTAAGCGGTCAAGGACATCCGTGAAATCCTTGTTAAGACGGTTGGAGATAGCCGTTGCAAAATCTCTAGGTTGAAGACATCCTGCAAATCTTCGGTGCACGGTTGGGGATAGCCATTAGAAAATCCTCAAAACTAGTTGGATACTTCAAGGCGTGAAGTATTGTCGATCTAGTGTAAACCTATTGGCAAAGGTTTGTTTGCCAAAAACTGGTTCCCTCGTGACGATCATGTTGAGACGGTCAAGGCGTTCTAGTGGATTGAAAATCCTTAAGGAGGAGCCTTAAGGTACTAGAGTAGGGAGTTCCCGAACCAGTATAAAATCGGTGTGCATTTTCTTTACGCTTTTATTTTTGCGTTTTTTTATATATTGCTTCTGCATTTGCCAGCATCGTTTTTATCAAACTCCGAAAAGGTTTTAAACGCCTTATTCACCCCCTCTAAGGCGTGGGCACAACGTCTAAACCGACTAACAATTAGTATCAGAGCAGTTTCGTAGTTGAAAGTGCTTAACCGCATCTACGACAAAGATCCACTTGTTGTGTCTTTTTTGAATTTGAATTTTAAAATCTCAAATATTTATTTTCCCTAGTTTTTTTAAAAAAATTCAAATTTATTGCCCAAATGGATTCTTAAAGCATTCACCGCCCTCCGTTTTTCAACAGCCAAAATTGTTCTTATTGGAAAATGCGGATGGAATATTTTATACAATCCATTGATTTTGATTTATGGTTTAATGTACTTCACGGGCCATTTGTGCCGAGTAGTGGTAGCCTTGTAGGTTTATCTTTGGAGGATAAGAGAAAATTATCCATGAATACAAAGGCAATCAACATCCTTCATTGCTCTCTTGGCCCCGACGAATTTGCAAGAGTGAGTACATGCAAAACGGCCAAGGAAGTATGGGATCTACTAGAAGCCACACATGAAGGGGACATCTCAACAAAGCAAACGATGATTGACCTAGGAAATTTGGAATATGAATCGTTCAAAAAAGGGCAATGTGAGACAATTCAAGATATGAACAAGAGGTTCAACGAAATCGTCAATAAGTTAAGTAAGTTGGGTAGGACATATACTACATGCGAATTGAATACAAAGATATTGTTTTCTTTACCTAAAGAATGGCATAGTAGTATTGTAGATTTATTACCCAAATGTGATAAGGTCGAAACCGCCCACATTTGGTCTTCCTTGTATTCTCATAAACTTTTGTTGAGAAAGATTAAAGAGGAAGAAATGCGAGAAAATTCCAAACTTACCAGTGCCTTCAAAGCTTCAAAAGACTCATCAAGTGAAGAGTCAAGTGAGTCAAGTGATGATTCAAGTGACTCAAGCTCTACGGAAGAGTTAAATGATGAAGAAGATGAAGAGAAGGCAATAAGAATGAAGTATACGGATTTTCTCAAATGGAATAAATACGTGAAGAGTAAAGAAACGTATTCAAAGCTGAAGAAAGAGTGACATAAGCCAAGGTAAGTCTCTTTTTATCTCTCATAAAATTAATATATATTCAAAATCTTGTTGGTCAAAATCACATCATCATCATCATCATAAAAAATTCACAATAGGAGGATTGAAGGAATTAAAATACAAAGGGACACAGGAAGCCAAACGGTCGACCGCAAGATATTGACGGTCCATCTAATCAACCGTCTGTAGCGTTCAGAATCGGACCCCAATCTGTAATCAAAACGGTCGACCGTGACATCGGACGGTCCACTATATCAACCGTTGCCTTTTGATCCAGAATACTGCCATACGCACAGTCGACCGTGCCATTGAAACGGTCCATCGTGTCCTCCGTTACGTTTGGATCCAGAACACTGCCATAGGAACGGTCCACCGTGGAATAGGAACGGTTCCGATGATCGATCGTCGACAGCTATTTAAACGGTCAAAACCCTATTCTTTTAAATCTACTCAACCGCGGCTCACTTCGTCTCCTCTGTCCAACGCCTGTAATTCCTAAATTTCGGCTCTCTCTCAATCATCCAAGCTTCAAGACATCATCTTCCATGGCTCCCAAGAAGGACACCAACAAGCGCACAATTGGTCCGGGTAAAATTCTAAACCTACCGGATTTCCCCCAATTCATTATCTCGGTTCTTACGCTTCAAGGATTGCTAGGATTTATTGCAATAGATGAATTGGTGTATAATGAGCTTGTTTATGAATTCTATGATAACCTCTCTTGGGAAACTAAGGTTAATGAAGAAGAAGAAGAAACTCCTTTTCTCAAATCTAAGGTTAAGAACAAAACTATAAACCTTGGAATTAAGGAAATTTGTGAATGCTTTGATATTGTTGATAACCGTGATGGATTTGAGACGTATGATAGACATGGTTGGGGCATCAAGGGTGATACTCTAGCAAGTTGTGTTGATAGGCTACACAATGGAGTTGAACATTCCGGAATTGTTAGGCCTAAAAGAGAATTTTTGAATGTTAATCAACAAATTCTTTTGAAAATCTTAAAAGAATGTCTTTTGCCTACCGGAAGCAACGACTCCATTGTTGGTATGCTCGAGTGTGCCATTGTCTATCTCTTGGAAGTGGAATCCCTCGTTAGGTTCCCTATGATGATGATGAACCATATGTGGATTCACAAGGGTTATGGACAACTTTCTTATGGAATGGCATTGACTAAAGTGTTCCGAAGGGCCAAAATCAAGCTTGAAAAATACCAAGGAAGGAACTACGAGTACAAGAAGATGGATGCCACAAGTCTTCGACGGTCAAAGATCTTTCAACACTTTGACGGATTTCACACCGAAGCTTCTTACACCCGAATCTCAGTAGAAGAGAGAAACTGATGGAGACGTGAGCACAACTTAAGTAAATTTGTAAGTTCTTCCTCTTCAAACCCCCGTCCGAGCATTGAGGTTCCTCCACGTGCTTCTTCCATGCCTCGCTCCCGTTCTACACACGCAAAAATCGATCCTTCATTGAAGAAGTACATGGATGAGAAGATAGCTCAAATGGAGGAAAGCATCACAAAGAAGGTAACCAAGTCCGTGACAAGGAAAATCTTTGACTAAATGAGAAAATGGATTGGTAGGCCTAAATCCCCGTCGTCCTCATCTTCTTCGGAGGAAAAGAGAACAGCTAAGAAGAAATCCAAAGGACCAATCATTGAGGAAGTTGTTGAGGAAGACCCCGAAACAATCAACGAGGAGAATTTGAAAAAAGGAATTCGGGAAAGCCTTGCCGAACATCGTCATAACATTAGCTCATTTCCTCCTATGAATCCCTCATCCACGTTTGAATATGGAAATCCCTCCTCCTCACATGTGAACATTGATGATTATGATGATGATGAAGACATTGACAACATGGCAAATGTTGATGATTATTACTATTATTGAATTTAATTTACTTTTATCTTGCACAATATGTTGATGTTTGGATATTTAAAACTTTGGTACTTTTTGACGACATTGTGCTTAATGTAAATTGCCTTCATTAACTCTCTTGACTGTGTTTAGATTTGGTATCAAGGTCATTACCAAGTTCTGCTGAAGTGCATGAAAATGGGTAAATATCCATGAATCATGAACTCATAAATCAGAGGAAATTCTTAGCCTTGGTATGCTAAGAGAAAAGCTAAAATATGGCACAAGTCTTGAAAAAGACATGTTATGTATAACATATCTTTTATGCTTGGTTAATTTTTTTTTACTTTGATGGAGTTCTTTTACCAAAGGGGGAGTAAAAATGTTATCAAAATTAGAAGAAAAATAAATTTTTTTTAAAGATTTTCTCTATATTGTCAAAATTGGTTGATCTTGTTTGCACTTCTCCCCGCTAATCTTATGAGATTCTTCATTCTATTTTTTACTTGAATCTATTTGATAGGGGAGGGCTTTTGAAGAAACTTTACACTTTTTATCAAAAACCTTCCATCCATCCTTTTTGCTCTTGACAAATAGGGGGAGAAATATGTATACTTCAAAGTGCAATTTTTTCTCAAAGTTTTTATGTGTTTTTACATATTAATTGATCATCAATTCTTCATAAACACATAGAAAATACAAAGTGAGAACTTTTCAAAAATGCTATGTTTTAGGGGGAGCTTGCATGAATCCTTCACTACTACCTAAATCTCACTTTGAAGTAAATTATTTGTCAACATAAAAAAGGGGGATATTTTTAGCCTTGGTATGCTTAATCTCATGTTTTGATGTTAACAAATAATTTTATTGAGCTAACATTTATTCAATTGTGTAGGAATGATAAAATCCACTAAAACGCATTGATTGCATCAAAACGTTCGCTCACACAGGACTAGCATAGAATAGCTTAGAGTCATTTATTGTTAAAGATATTTGAATGATATATCTCTAAGCTCAAGCTAAACTTTGCACACACATAAAAAAAGATTTTTACTTGGGTATTTATTTTTAAAATACATTTGGTAAATATTTTCGAAAACATATTTTTCAAAATATTTAACTAAAGTTATAGCTCTTCTCAATACGAGATCGCCGGTTCTTGAATTACTCAATTCCGATTAGTATTGAAAAAGTTATTAACATTTTACCAAATTTATTTCAAAATTGCACACAGGGTTACGAACGGTCGATGTGGTGAGCCGTTACTACAGAACGGTCGACCGTCCTACTGACCGTTGGAGGAATCTGAACGTTACCCCGAACGGTCGACTGTTTTGCCTGAAACGGTCGATGTGATGGGCCGTTCGGAGACCAGATTTCTTATTTCTTGTCCTTTTCACCCCCAACGGTTGGATTATTTTAATTATGGCATTAGGAGCTAATTATTCTTCTCTAACAACTATTTTTCAATTTAAAACAACTCCTAATTCATCCCTATAAATACCCAAACCATTTATATGTTTTAATTAATCAAGCTTTGCTAAAATCTCTTAATTCTTTCTTCTTGTGTTCATAAAAATCTCTGATTTTTTATTAGGCTATTTAGAGCCATTTTTCAATATATCTTCTTGAACACACATTGAGCTTGATCCAAAGAGATATACACTCATATCATTTATAAAAGAGTTGTAATTCTAGAGTATATAGATATTATCACACCGACCCGACTTTGTAATTTATATTATTGAGGGGGTGTTAATTCATTCAAATTCTCATATCCTTGTAATCGGTCGAAGATATCCGTTGCAAAATCTTCATTGAATGGTTGGAGATAGCCGTGGTGAAATCTCCGTAAGCGGTCAAGGACATCCGTGAACTCCTTGTTAAGACGGTTGGAGATAGCCGTTGCAAAATCTCTAGGTTGAAGACATCCTGCAAATCTTCGGTGCACGGTTGGGGATAGCCGTTGGAAAATCCTCAAAACTAGTTGGATACTTCAAGGCGTGAAGTATTGTCGATCTAGTGTAAACCTATTGGAAAAGGTTTGTTTGCCAAAAACTGGTTCCTTCGTGACGATCGTGTTGAGACGGTCAAGGCGTTCTAGTGGATTGAAAATTCTTAAGGAGGAGCCTTAAGGTACTGGAGTAGGGAGTTTTCGAACCATTATAAAATCTGATGGTCCCGAAGTGGTGAGTTACAAAGTCTAGAGGGGGGGGGGATAGACTTTGTTACAAATTTAAAAACTTTTTCGTTTCTTTTGAGAACGTGAAAATGAGTGTTAATCTAGAGTTCTTGTGAACTTTAGATTATGTGCGGAAGTTGGTGGGTAGAGTGAGCAGTAATCAATATGGATGGGTTAGTTTTCTCAGTTAATATAATTGCAAGTAAGAATAAAGATAAAAGAGAGAGACACGCAAACTTTAACGAGGTTCGAAGGTGGGGTAATCCTTCTACGTCCACTATGTAGTTGGTTGTTGAATAATGAACCAACAATTACACTTGTGTGAATTTCTGCACGGTATATCTTCGCAAGGCCAATGTTGCTACTGCACTCGTGCTGGCTTTGTTGTTCCTTCGAAGGTCACGCTTCTTCAACAACAGCAAGGTCCGAACAATAGGACTTGCAAGACCAACTTGTAAGAAAGTTGACCTACCCCCTTTCAATCAATAAGTTTGATCAAAAGTTGTATCCTTCAACGTGGTGTGGTACTTGAGG